CTGCTCTCTGTTTTAACTGCAATTTCTCCCAAGCAGGGTACTAGACCGCTACCAGTCTCTTCACTATTCCACCAGACCATTTTCCTCCTGCAGACCTGTGAGGCAGCTTGGTGTAGAGTGATGGTGCTCAAACTTCTTCATTTTAGAACCCCTTTATATTCTTACAAATGGAAAACCCAAAAACATTTTTGTTTGAGAGTTGTGTCAATATTTATCATATTGTAAATTAAATTGAGAAGTTTAAAAAGTATTAATTCATTTTATAATCACATTAATATTAATTACATCAAAAAATATAGTGAGAAGACTGGTGTGTTTTACAAATCTTTTGAATGTCTGGCTTAGTGAAAGACAGGTTGGATTCTCCTCTCTGCTCTTGTAGTTAGTCTCTTGTAATATGTTATTTTGATGAATGTGTATGAAGAAAACAACTTTGAAAAAATACATATTTTTTATGATTTTTTTACAGAGAGGAAGGGAGAGGGATAGAAAATTAGAAATATCAGTGAGAGAGAGACATTGATCAGTTGCTTCCTGCACACTCCCTACTGGGTATGTGCCCACAACCAAGGTACATGCCCTTGACTCAAACCTGGGATCCTTCAGTTTTCAGGCCACCGCTCTATCCACTGAGCCAAACCGATTAGGGCAGAAAAACCACTTTTTACCATAGAATATGTAGTTGGAAAAGGGAAGAGTATTTTTAATAGCCTTTTCAAATAATTGTGGACATTATTCTTTGATACTGCACTAAAACTTCACTTAGTGTAGTGTGGAATCTGAAACCACTATTTTTTTTAATATATATTTTATTGAATTTTTACAGAGAGGAAGGGAGAGAGATAGAGAGCTAGAAACGTCGATGAGAGAGAAACATCGACTAGCTGCCTCCTGCACACCCCCCACCAGGGATGTGCCCGCAGCCAACGTACATGCCCCTGACCGGAATCGAAGCTGGGACCTTTCAGTCCTCAGACCGACGCTCTACCACTGAGCCAAACCGGTTTCGGCTGAAACCACTATTTCTCCAAAACCCATTGGTCTCTCTTGCACTCTGATTTGATTATGCAATACTAGTAGCCCTGCACACTAATCCATGCACCAGTAGCTCTCTGCGGGGCCTGGCTGCCCTATACCCACTGCCCAGAGGCTCTTCATGGCCCAGAGGCCCATCTGCAGCTGGGAGTGGAATGCTTGCCTCGTCGCTGCGATAATGAAGTAAGCATTCTGCCAGGCCACTCACACTGCCCACTCTCAGCACCCATCCTCTTCCCTCCCTTCCTCCTCTCCACCTCTCCACCCCCAACGGGACTGGGGTACTCTGAAGGGGCTGAGAGCACTGGGTGCCACCTTATTTGTGACAGAGTGATGGTTAATTTGCATATTACCCTTTTATTATATAGGATTATGTTAGCTGAGTTTATATAGGCCTCCCAAATGCTGACACATCCTATATAATAAAAGGCTAATATACAAATCTAAATGGCGGTGCATCCAGTCACTATAACATGCACTGACCACCAGGAGGCAGAAACTCAACACAGGAGCTGCCCCTGGTGGTCAGTGTGTCAGAAGACAGACTCATGGCTGGAGAGTGCAGGAGCAGCGGCAGAAGCCTCTCCCACCTCTGCAACAGCACTAGGATCTCTAGTTTTATTATATGACATCAAAGAAATCGCATTCATTACTATTTCCACTGATCTCATAGAAAAGACTTTAAGTACTTAGAAAACTGGGAAGCTCTTTGTGACAGATATAAATTTTCCAAGATTCTAATTTTTGCCTGGATTTTATCATTGACCACAACTATTATAAGCTGTTTTGCTTGAATGGTTAGACTTTCGTTCCTTTTCAAGAAAACATCTGCCATATACCCAGATCTGAATAACCATCGTTTTCAAGTCTTACATCCCCAACCAGACAGATGCACAGGAGCTTTTCCCAGAGAGCAGCAGTGCTTTCTGTGCAAGAGCTGCCATGTACTGTCAGGTCTGGGCGTGAGGAAATTAATTCATGTTTTCGTCAAGGGCATTCTTCTGTGAAACTCGTCTACTGCAATGCCTGATACAGAGACACACTGTCTGATTCCTGCTCGGTGACAAGCAACTTTACCCCAGGGCTTTTGTGCCAACATCACTGAGTGTTAATACAATAGAATAGTCGTATAATATCCTGTATTATCATGACTTAATGGGTCACCCAACAGGGGACCCTCGGGGTCTGTGCGATAACACTTTGGGAACCTATGGTGTGGGAGTCTAACTCTGGAGGCAAAGCTAGTGTGTAATAGTGACTGGCTCTGTCATTTTTATGCTGTCATGGGTCCCAAATGAGGCCCATGTCTCCTCATCTGGAGAATGAAGACATGGGCTTCTTCGACCATTTGTTGTGAGCACCAAATGGTAGAACTAATGAAATGGGCCTGTGTGGGCTTAGTACATAGCAGGTGTAGAGAAGGTTCCTTTCCTTTCCTTCTCAGAACATTGGTTCTAGCCGAGCATAGGTCTCTTGGCTGTTCTCTCACTTGCAATGCCTTGAGGAAGGGGGAACAGGATGAACAGGGAGCAGCAGAGCTTCCTGGGCTATTTAAGCAGGGAGGTCTTAGGTTCTTTGGACCCATCAGTTCTATATGGATGACTTAGTGTAGTTCGAGCTAAAGAGCCAGCTTCTGAGAAAATTAGCAGTCTTCCTATTGCTCTCATCTTCTCGTCTTTGGGCTCTTTATCAATAATCCTGGTTTAGCCTCAGAACTCTAGGGTGGAGTGGAGGAAAAGGGGCCTTACACAGTTGGAAAACCATCTCAAGGAAGAGGCAGCTTCTGCTACAAGAGCTGTGCCCTGCTAGTGTGGGACAAAGTTTTCCCATCCAGAAAAATACTGGAGCATGATTTTGTCACAGCCAAGCAAAACCGAAATGCACAAAACCCAATTCTCTTCAAATTTTAAAAATGAACTTGAATCTGACAGTGGTTTGAAGACTGTGGCCCACCTTCAAAAGAGATCGACAGTTCCTGTCCAAGACAGATCCCATGGAGGCTTTATCTTGTATTACCTTCCTTATTGTCCTGAGGGTGGGGACGCGGGGGACACTATTTAGCTTTCAGAAGAAGAGGTTGTGGTTTTGACCTGCTAGTGGGTTCAGTGTCAAGCCCGGCGTGTCATGGTGTCCCAGGTCTTTCCGGGAGAGCTCTGGCTCTCTCCGTGGTGTCTGGACCAGAGCTGCTGGCAAGGTCTTTTCCAGGAGGAAACCTTGCCCTGATACCTGCAAGAGTACATTCTGAGTGCAGTGGCCCTGTGTTTGAAATGACCTTAGTTCTCTCTGCAGATCTTGGGTACTCAGGCTGAACATCCTTATTTTACTAATCTTTATTGGTAGCTAGACTTGTTATCATGTGTATACAAGCTCCGAATTTTAAAAAGGGTTGCGCATGTATTAAATTTTGTCCTGAAGAAGTATCCCAGCAAGGTTCCCTGTAGCTCAGAGCACTCGGATGTGATGGGGGTAGCAGAGCTACCTGGGTGACTGTACACTAAAGCATTTACATTGATGTCTTGGTAGGTTTTAATAGACTCTCTCTGTCCCCAAGATAGAAAGGCCCTCTGTACCCAAAGATGAATGGGGATCTTAGTATTTCTGTCCTCCATCCTGTGTGGTTCTGGGAAGCATGTAGTGGTGGGCCTGGGGTGCAGGTGAACCCGTCTCATATTGCAGTGACCAATGTGGCAGAAGGATGCTGGGCTGCACTTTGCTGTTTGTCTTCTTAACGTTGTCACCTTGAGCAAGCCAATTCACTTTGTTGAGCTCCAGCACCTTCATATGTAAACTCAGTCTTAAGACACTTGTCCCTTATGTGCTGCAGGGGGTGGTTGGTTGCGAGGCTTCAGAGGAAGGGCTAAGAAGCCCTAAGATGGGGTCCAAGGCAAGAGAACACTGAAGAGTGCCCAGAGAAAAGGTGGAAGCCTTCCTCAGGTGGAGGGGGACAGCGCCTGCCCTGTCAGAGGACCAGGTGCCAGTCCCTCCTGGTGGCTGTGAGGTTGGCTCTGCAGGCAGACCATCTGCACTTTAGTGCTCACTTCTCCATGTGTGACCTTACCGTGCTTCCGTTTTGTCCTCTGAAAATAGGCATCAAAATAACCTCTGCAACAGTACCTGCCCTTAAGGATTACATGGATAATAATAATAAGCCGAAAATACAAGCCTGGTTTCTGACTATGGGAAATGCTCCGTCATGTTAGCTCTTACTGCCATCAGGGTAGTCTTCCCCCACATGCGACAGTGTTTGTTTCAGAGACACAGCTAGATGTGTGGTGCCGCCACAGCCTGATAGCAGCCACCGTATTTTAGAGCAGCCGCCATTTAACGGGTAGGTCCTAAGGAAGCCAGGCAGAGCAGCGGGCGGTGAGTGTGACCCTCCACGGGAGCTGGTATGTGAGATTTCTCAAGGCTCTTTGGAGAAAAGGGGCATATCCATGCTGTGAGTGTGCTGCTTGTGATGAAAAGTTTACAACGTTTTATTGGCAAAATTATATTTCAAACATTACCTTGATTATCTTGCTATGGGAAATAAGACAGAGAAAAGCAAAAGCAATTTCTTACATGTCTTGGATTATTCTGTTTTGGTTCCTAAAGAGATTATTTAGGTGTTTTCTTGAGCAAACAAGCATGTGGTGTTTCTCCCTGGTTTACCTGTTCTGTGAGGGCTATAGGAGGCATTATTGTCAGGTGTGCGATCAGTGGACTAGGATTCGGAAGACCTGGGTCCCAGCTCTGCCACACCCTGCTGTTCGACCTCGGGCAAGTCACCTCACTTTTTTGGACCTCAGGTTTGAGACCTGAAAGTGGAGAAGATGCTGGTCATCTTGCCCTGCTCACTTCATCTGGGGCATCATGAGGCTCAGTGAGAGAACGGGTAAATTGCTTTACAACCAAAATACAAGTATTAACAAATGGCTGCTGGTAACCAAGTGCTGACCCTCCTAATGAAATATTTTCTTTCTCAGTGATGTTACAGCCTTTCGATTATGACCCCAATGAGAAAAGTAAACACAAGTTTATGGTTCAGTCTATGTTTGCGCCAACTGACACTTCTGATATGGAAGCAGTAGTAAGTACTGAATGCTTCTTACTTTTTAGTATTCAATGATTAGGGACAGAATTATGGGTGCATGCAGTTCACAATACGTTAGAATTGTTTTAAAGGGGAATGTTGTTTCCAGGGAGGTTTTTACTCTGGCTGCCTTTATGGTTTTTGTAAAAGCTTTGATTTTTTTTTACGTTTTATGTAACTCTAGAATACTGTTCTTTGACTTTTGTATCTCAGTTTGCCTCAGCAATTCCTTGTTCTGATGGATTGTATCTTGAATGGTTTGTGGGTTCTCTCCCTTTCCTCCTATCTTGTGCCTTACAGAAAAGGGCACCCATTTATTACCATGTCCCTCCCACTTCCCCCCTTCACCTCCCCTCCACCCCCTAACTTGGGGATGTGAGCAAGGTGAATACTAAATGTCCTCTGCCCTTAAGAGGTTTGTCACCCCCTGCTTGGTCCTGGTAAGCATGATTTTTTTTGCTCCTTTAGGTTCTTTCATTTTTTTCTACTTAAATGCATGTTTAACTAATTTTGGTAAAAAAAAGATGACTTCATTTTCATAAAGTAAATGCTATATTATTGATTTTGCTGGAAAAGGGTGTAATGGAAATTCCAAAGTAAGCTTGTTATACACTCAAATAAATGAGGAGGCCTTCTGGTGCTGTGTGTGAATCACAATATACGGAGCAACTTCACCATCCATTGCACTGGCCAGGACAGGTATCTGGTCCTCACGGAGGGGAAGAAAGGCACAGTGCCTCCATGTTTCCATCACTCCAGCCTGCCAACCCAAACTAAGAGCTGCATCATCCAAGGGATGCCTGCAAAGTTTGAGTTAGCCGTGACTCACACTGTCCTGTGGTTTTCTCTCTCTCAGAGTTTGATACTAAGGGCTGTTTCACACAGCTCACCTTTGTGTCTCAGAATCACCACACAGCCTTTTCTACTCGTCTTGGAAAAGTAAACTGGCCATCTCCAAGTGTTTAACTTTGGTGCTGTAAATGGAGGAGAAGCCACTATTTGGGGGCTTGAGAGAAATCAGTGATAATGAGCCATCTTCCTTTGCATAAGAATAATTATTGAGGCTACTTTCCCTTTTACTTCCTAGAACACATTGTGTCATTTCGTGTTAATTTGTATAATCAAGGAAATGTATGGCAAATATGAAATAAGGAATATCTGAGAATATGTCCTATTTGGCTTTTGTTGCATGGCTTACTAAAGAGAGCATGGGCTTGGGTGTGGAGCTGAGGTCTCCCTCTTACTAGCACTTGGCCTTGGGCGATTTCATTAACTCTCTTGAGGGTTTGGTCACCTGTAACATGGGTGAAGACCTGGTTGATGGGTTGTCATGGGATGAAATGTGCTCTGTGTAGAGAGCCCCTGGCAGTGCCTGGCTCTGTTTCATTTGCTGTCACAGGTCCAGCACTCTCTGTAGTCAAGGTGAATTTCACTTCTCACGTGGTAATTTTTGCACCAGTTTTAAAGATGTTTATATGAAATGTGCATTGTAGAATTTTTGGAAATACAAAAATGAAAAGTTACCCTGTAGTTTGTTATACTTGACCTAACCACTGTTAATGAATGAAGCCTTGAGCTATTTTTTTTATTTTAAAATATCTTTCTTTTTATTTTGATATACAGAAAATTGAAAAAAATGGTACATTAACCACTCATATCACCTTTACCTAGATTCAACATTTAACATTTGCCACATCTACTCCATTTTTATCATAAGCTTTCTTTTCTACTGAACCACTTAAGGATAAGATGCAGACTTTACCCCTAAATGCTTCAGAATAAGGCCAGTCTTCTATACAGCCACATACTGTTATCACAGCCGAGGAGTTAACATGGATCATATTGTCCAACAGAGAAACACTCTACAAGTGTTTTTCAGTTGTTCCCCAAAGGCCTTTGGTTCTAGTCTGGTAAAGTAGCCTGGACCTTTTTAGTTTTTCATGACTTTGAATTTTTTAGAGTCCAGGCTAGTTAGTTGACTTGTAGGATGTCCCACATTCTGGATTTGTCCAATTGTTTCCTCATGACTAAATTCAGGTCAAATGTTTTGTGGCAAGAATATTCCATAGGTGATGTCATGTGTGTATCATTTCAGAAGGCATTTAATGCTGATTGTCCCTCTGTTGGTGACACTAAGTTTGATTACTTGGTTGCAATGATGATGGCCAACTCTCTGCAGGGTCAAAGCACATTTGCCCCTTGTGATTAATAATGGAATCTGTGATGTGCTAAGTAAACTGGTGCTTGGACTCAGCAGCAGTCCTCTTCCCAGTGGTCTTAGCATCCAATGATAGTCCTGCCCGATGCTCTGACATGTGTGCATGTTTGCACAGGAGCAGACTCAGAACATCGATGTTGCATCTTCACTGACTTTCTATGGATTTCTCATGAGTGAAATGCTCCTCGGTGTCCTGTGAATGGCATGCTGCACCACAGAGAAACTGCCAGGGTTTATTGGCAGTTCACACCCTGTTGTCTTCATTCTTGGTTCTTAGTACCTGTGTTGCTCCAGTTGCCCCTGCCTCTTAGTCCTGGGCAGGGCTGGGGGAGTCTGTTCCTTCTCTGCATTGTAAACTTTGATGGACTCGGCTGCAGTTCTCAGAACACCCGAATCCCAAAAGGAGGAGAGTAAACCAGGAGTTCAGCATCCCAGAACAGGGTTTAACCAGGAAGCCACCTGCACCAACAGACAGAGGGAGGAGGAGAGTAGCAGAGAAGGCTTGCTGGCTAATGTGCCCTGTTGGTAGTTGGCAGCATGAATCCAGCCATCAGCCCTGGTCTTCTCTTTTCTAAGTGCTTCCCACAGACTAGCAACAAGGGGACATTGGTTGACTTTGAGGAATTAGGCAGCAAGACTGGGATTTGCGTAGTGTAATAAATATTCAGGAAAGCTATTATATTTAATCTTGTCATGTTGAAAATATTGATATCTCAGCAGACTTAATTTCTTTATTTGATATATATCAGGGCTTTCTCATTAAGAGTATTTTTCCGAAATTGTCAGTTATAGGAAGAAAATTATTCTTCCAGCAGCTTTATAATATCCTGATTATTAAATTTAAATTGTTTTAGTGGAAGGAGGCAAAACCGGAAGACCTTATGGATTCAAAACTTAGATGTGTGTTTGAATTGCCAGCAGAAAATGATAAACCAGTAAGTATATTTATAGTTAACAATAATTGAATGTTGCAAGCTTATACTTATTTGCATACCATCTCCTGCAAAACCAAGATTTAAGTTGGCAAATTATTTTCCTCTTTCTGATGCATAAAAAAAAAGCTTAAGTCAACAAATAAGTGAGCTCCCACAAAATCAGCCTTTGAAAGACTTGCAGAGAGACAATTGGAATAATTTTTGCCCTTGCAAAGTACAACCTGTTGGCTGTGGAAGTGTTATAAATCCCAAAGAGCGTCTGTTAGAGTTATAGGTCGCTCTGACATGGGGAAGACTAAAATAAGGGAATAATTTGCCATTTATCATGGTGCTTGACAGACAGGTGTTAAGCATGTAGGGTCTGTTGTTTCACAAAGAACCTAAAGGTTCTCCAGTCTGCTCTTTCCCTCAGCACCACCTCTCTATCCCATAACCCCTCTTCCTGCTGCTGTCAGACTTGCTCTTAGAGGTGGGGTCTCCACTTCCGACTAACATGTAGGCCTCATACTCTGCTGTGGGCTGTCCTGGGCCTTGTAGAATGCCTGACTTCTGCCCACTAAATACTGGTAACTTTTCTCAATCCTGACGCCCAAAAAGACCTCCTGACATTGCCAAATGTGCCCCACCCCACCCCATTGAGAATCTCCTTTGCTGTCTGAGGGACCAATCCAAGGAATGGCTTCTCCCAGGCTGCCGCTCACTTGCTCACTTTTCTCTTTGTGTAAAACTGAGGGATTAGCCTGGCATGGCCCTTACTTGATTCCAGTTGAAGACAGAAGACTGAAATGCTAATATGGACTCCCTTCAACCTAGTCAGAAAAACTTAAATTGTATTAAAAACACAATTTGAAGTTTAGGCAGAGGATTAGCTACCCTGGCTGTTAATAGCTGAGACCTCTGAGGACATTACCCATAATGGCCTCCAGGAATGCTCTGAATCTGTGCCAGAACTACTTAGTATGTTCTTTTTGCACCGTCACTGACATGATCATTATTCTGTTTCTTTGAATTGCACATTATGTCCTGGGAAGGTCAGTTTTGGAAGTTGTGAGACCTGTATTCTGGTCTTAGCTCCAGCTCTGTGATACATTAGCTTTGTGGATTGGAGCCTTGCCTTATTGTGCCTCACTCTTTTCATCTGGAAAATAAAGGCTGGAGCTAGATATGTCAGTAGAGCTAAATGAGTAGTTCTAGGTTACTACTTAGAACCCCACCACCCAGGACAGCTCTCCCCAGTATACCTGAGCCTCCACGACACTGGTTCCCCATTCTATCCTCCCTCCCCCCCCCCCCCCCCACACACACACACTGACACATCCCTAGTCAGTCTCAAGGTGATTCCATAACCTTGGGAAATTGGGGGGGGGGGGGGTACATGTAGCTTTCCCAAATTGAAATATTGCAGGCACTGCACTCATTCTACCTTCATCTCAGCTTCCAAACTCTTAAATTAAGTTTATGAACCAAACGCCCTCTGTGTCCTCCCTGGCCTCTCACCCCTGCCCAGCCAGTCCTAGAATGTTCAGATCTTCCCAGTGACAGTAATTTGTGGGTACGAGTTCCTGCGCTTGCACAATTACCGCATGCTACTTTTCGCTTGGTGGGAGTCTGAGGGTTCAATATATACTGACTTTTCTTCCTCCTCGGAAGCATTAGTCTCAGCTGGACTTTGTTATTTGCCCTTCTTCATAATTTCTGGGGCCCAGTTGCTTTAAATTATTAATATTAAGAGACTAGATGAAGTGATCCATTTTAAAATAAATGTGACATCTTGCAGTGTGGATGAAAGGCTGCCACATATGGTGTTGCTGAGAGCTACTTTACTTTGCATAGAAAAGTCCTTTATTACATAGTTGGTGACACTTGGGCTTTCATTTATTTCTGAACAGCATGATGTAGAAATAAATAAAATTATATCCACAACTGCATCAAAGACAGAAACATCAACGGTGTCTAAATCTCTGAGCTCTTCTTTGGATGACACTGAAGTTAAGAAGGTGATGGAAGAATGTAAGAGGCTGCAAGGCGAAGTCCAGAGGCTGCGAGAAGAGAACAGACAGTTCAAGGTAACAGCATTTCCTTTTCTGATGATCTGAGAGTGGGGGGCTTCTTCCTTCTTCCCTAGGATCTTGGGGAGGGAAGTTGATGAACCCCTGAATTTGCACACTTTTCTCCCAAGAAGAAATTCCATAGCTTTCATCAGTTTTTCAAAGAGGCCTTGAACTTACCCTTCCCCATCAAGAACCTGTGTCTATTTAAACTCTTGACCCCTGGTTTAAAACAACAACAACAACAACTCTCACCCTCCATTAGTGTAAATTGAATATTAGAGATAAAAAATAAAGCAGCATTAGTTATGTGGAATTTACATTTTCAAATCTCATTTCATCGCCACTTGTGGAGAATCTTTTTTGAAGAGAGTAGATACCTCAACTCCATTTTAACACAGGCATAATTCTGACTTTTGAAGATTCTAAATTAATCTGAACATAAAGCCCTCGTTACACTGTGAGCATGGTGATGAGGTTGGAGAAGTTGTCAGAGTAGATAGGTGGAAATTGTGGAAGGACAAACCCGTGGTCAGCCGTGGGCAAGATGGCTGGTATTGGTGATAGAGGGTCAGCTACACTGAGTGGCAGAGGGAAGGGAGGGGCACTGGTCTCGCCGTGGAGGCTGTGGTGGTGTGGAAAGAGACTTGAACTAACTCTGGGTCTAGTGAGTGTTTAATCACAGCCTCCCTGGACCTCTTTTCCAAAATACCTCTGCAGCCCTCCAGCTTTAAAAGTGTGTCTGTCCTGGACACCACAGTGAGGAAAACACTTCTAATCATTTGATCAGAGGAACTTTTGTTGCAGCTTAAATTTTGAGGCTGTGCCACCCAAGCATGTAATAGGTTTTTGCTTTCTAACTACCACAGCACTCAGCTCTCGTAACAAATTCATTTCCGCCGACTCTTCTTTTTTCTTCTGACAGTGTGGTCGGTCTAAAACTGTCAGTGCCTGGGAAGCGGCCTGTCTCCTTTCCCTGCAGAAGTCTTCATTGGCCTCGTGAAGCGGAATAAATTAGGAAGCTGACTTTTTACTCTTTGGCTAAAAATCTAAGATACGCCTAAAGCTTCTTCTTGAGTATATTTCTCTTCAGAAACAGAGTTCTGTGCCATTTAAAGTGACAAATAGGTAGAAATAGCTTCTATATAAACCCAATAAAATAAACGCTGTATTTTGTTGTGCCCATTTTTTTTTAAGTTAATCGAATAACACTGGTCATTTATCATGCTGTGCATTGATATTGGCCGTGTCCCACAAGCAGAATATCTTTAAAATATTATCAGGCCAATCTTGACATTAGAAGATTCTTTATCCTGCCAGACACTGATTTCTTGTTTTGTGTTTTTTCATTTTTTTACTTGGCCAACAAATTTCCGGCCCTACCATGCACCCAGCACTGTGGGTACAGATGGGAGCAGTCCTGCCCTTGAAAAGTTACCTGAGAACAGGGATAGCAGCGAGACATAGACACAAGCTTTGACATAGACTAGCAAGCAGTCCCACAGGTACAGGGAGAGTCGGCTTGGTAGGCTGGCTGCTGCTTGACTTCAGGACCTGATAGGCACTAGGTGGATGGGAAGGAATAGAAGGGAAAGAAGAAGGGAAAGTGCAGCTGGTTTGTGGGGCCTGGGATGAGCAGATGGGTCGTTAGCCAGAGTTCTAGCTGCAGAGTATGGCTGTGTGGCAGATAGGAAGGCTTTGGTGCGTGTCTGGTGTAGGACATAGGGTGGGCCTGGGACAGTGAAGGAGGAAGAAGGGTCATTCCTTGCACACTTGTTGGTGGAGGATGTAGACAGGTACCTTATATAGGAAAAGCATTGTTGCTTCTTCAGTGGAAAATCCATGCACCAGATAGAAAATATTTAAGATGCATGTATCAAGTTTAGTCACATTTTAATATTCCAAATTCATGTTATTTAAATAATGAGAATCCAGCAGTCTACATGTAACTCATCAGACAACCATTCTGTATACAGCTCTGCTTTGGAAAGCTTCCAGATCCCTTACTTCCAAGTTTCTTGTGATTTTTATATTCCTGCCTTGAGAGATACCTATTATTTAAAAAATGGATTACTTCATTAGGGAAGCCTGTTTAATAGAGGAAGCAAGGACGGACAGAGGGGTTGGGGTTGGTATAGGTGAAGAGGAGCTCCTGGGAGACATGGCCAAGAAAGTGGGTGTGTCCAGACTAGACCATCTTAAGAGGTTTTTTTTTTTTCTATAAATCTTGGGGAACTAAGGTGTGCCCTGCTTGGATCTGTGGTGCAAAAATATATAGGATGTATAGAAGGAAAGAGGGGCTTCGGGTATTTTTTAGTGGCCTCAAATCAGCCCCCTCCTAGGCTTCAGAATAAGTAGATTAGACCACATCCTGAGGCCTGAATGTGGGTGTGAAAGCCCCTTCTAAGCTGTACAGCTGACTAGGCTTCTGGTGTGGGACTGTCTGACACGGCATGTGCTCCCTCAGGAAGAAGATGGACTTCGGAAGAGGAAGACGGCGCAGAGCAACAGCCCCCTCCCTGCGCTGGCCACCGCAGGGAAGGAGGAGGGCCTCAGCACCCGGCTGCTCGCGCTGGTGGTCCTGTTCTTCATCGTTGGCGTCATCATAGGGAAGATCGCCTTGTAGAGGCAGCATGCGGGGGGGTCATTGGATTGATGGATCCGCCGTATCATGGGATTTAAATTTATCATAACCATGTATAAAAAGAAATTATGTATGATGACATCTCACAGGTCTTGCCTTTTAAATTACCCCTTCCTGCGCGCCTGCGAGTGCACCCATACACAAATGTAACACAATGTAACAATCTTTTAGAAAGATACAAATGCATAACACATGATGGGGAAAAGAACGATCTTTGTTAATGACAGGGGAAGCCATGATTAAATGGTAATGGCATGTTGTAAATGTCATTTTAAACATCAGTAGCCTTGGTCCATGTCGCTGGTTACCTCTCTGAAAACACGACTCTCTTCCTTGCCTGGGTGCCGGCCCGGGAGCCAGAGCCCAGCGTGGCGGGAGTACCATCCCTCCAGTCAACCCGCGCTGCTCGCTCGCTCCCAGGCTGCTTGTCCGTGTGACGCCCAGGCCATCAGTTCCTTGGGAGTCAGCCGCCGAGAAGAATTGTGCTGTGGTGGCATGGGCAGGGTGCTGGACACGGGTGGGCATGGGCACAGACTGGCCCATACTTTGGAAAGAAAAGCCAGTGCTTTGCTCTCTTAAAGGGACCAAGCTAAATTCCTGTTGGTTCACGTAGTGTGATTGAACTGTATTCCGAGATGTTTAATGCATATTTAACTTATCTAATGTATTTCATCTCATGTTTTCTCGTCACAAGATTATAGTTAATGCTGTGGCCTAAAAATCACCTGTGCTACCTAATGCCACAATCGAAACTGGCATCATGGCCAGAGGGCTGTGGGCTCTGCATACGCATATGCAGACGTGCGGTTCATTTGAATGTTGGAGAACAGCGGCCAGGAAGTATTGTTCTGTGTAAGAAATGTACAGCTGTCAGAGGGAGGGAAATTTGTAGTAGCAACAGTAAGCTCGATTGTACCCTCTTTGCTGGAGAAGAGCAGCCGGGCTTTCATATTGTTCTCTCCCTGCCCGCCCCTCAGGCAGCACTCACACTTCGAGCACAGGAGCCACAGCTGGTCCTGCAGGTCCAGCTGGGGGTCCGGCAGTGAGTCAGGCCGCGGAGGGTGAGGCGAGGGAGTCAGCCGCCGGGGCAGGGAGGGTGCGCGAGGGGCTCTCCGGGTAGTTTATCTAGCACGTGGTAACTGAGAGTTTGACTGTGGAATCATTTTATGCCGTAAAAGACCAACCCAATTCTGTTTGAGTATGTAGCATCTTTAAAAAAGTAAAATAAATCCCCCAAATCCAGAGTTCTTTTGTCATTTTGTCATTTTGCTGTACGCGAGGAATTATTATTTTTATCATCATCATCATTATTTTGTCATTGGAAGGTTGATTTTAAAATGTACCATACCCATGAGAAAATATGTGTTTAATGACACACACGCGTGCACACATTTGGGGTGTTGGCCTCAAGTTTGAAAATAAAATTGCTGAACATCCTAAGCCCCGGTCTCCCTTGCCCTTCAATTGCTTTGCCTGCCTCTCAGGGCAAAGAAACCTTCCCTCTGGGTCGAGGAGCTCAGCAGAAGAGAAGAGACTAATGGGTAGTGCACTGAGCATGGCTCTAGTGTGCAAGGAGATCTAAAAGACAGATTTATCACCAGGAAGAAGTTCTTAGAAGCCATATTCCCTGAGTCCTCTTCCCCCAAGTCTGGCTGGGCAGCATGGCCCGAGGTTCTGGCTCTGGTGACCCAGTCAGGACCTAGCCTGGGAGGCGGGAGTCTGGTTAGTCAGTAACTTCCTGTCTTCACAGTAAGGTCACTCTGCATCCTGAGTATGTCCTGCACCTGTCACACCAGTCGCACTTGAGCAGGCAGCCATGGAAGGCTGCCCAGTTTTAAATGAGCCTCCGTGGTTTTTCATGTGGGTTCTGGGAGTGAGCTGCAAGGGTGTGGCCTGAGATCGGTCAGGTTGTGGGCACCACAGCAGACTAACCTTGTAGCCTCCGTGCCTTGCCTTGTAGGGAAGTGGAGTGGTTAGGAAGGCCGCAAATGTCCTGTGGCTAGGAGAAGTGTCTACATGCCTGCTCTTAAAGGACATGGCTGTGTTCCAATAAAGCTTTATTCACAAAAGCAGTTGGTTGGATTTCGCCTTCGAGGCTGTAGTTTGCTGGTGCCTCCCTAGGGTGACTTAAGTTCTCAGAAAGAGTGCCTGGGAAGCCTGTTTTGGGTCTATTAACGTGACAATGTTTTGTGGACATCTGGAAGCAGGTATTCAATTTCTTAAGAGTATGTGGGCACTTTGTAGCCAAAAATCAAAACTTTAAATCCAGAGTTGTCTCTTTTTTTCTGATTAAACATCCTGTAAAATCTCTCTTTTAGAGGGGAACATGTTGCTTTGTGGGACTTTTTGGCTGAGTGGGAGAAGGAAACGCCCCAGTGAGGGCAGTGGCAGGGAGATTGGCTGTTTTCGGAATTGTCCTGGTCAGCAAGGAAGGTGTCAGAAGGGAATGAATGTGTGAGGGAGCCAGCTCTGCTAAGATTCAGGGCCACTTGAAGAGCAGTAACACTCAAGAGGTTGGCCCAGGAGAAACGCGCACATTTTGGGGGTTCTTTTCTGGAAAGGGAAAACAATAAGGCAGAGACATGGATGTGCGAGGACCTATTACGTGTTCTGTTCTGAGAGGGTGGGAGTCAGAAAATTGGAATAAACTGGCACAGAACGAGGCTGATGTTGGTTGAGGTGCTGGCCAGGAATAGAGCTGGGCACTGCAGGCAGGTTGGTCGCTGGTTCCATAGCACCTTAGAGCCTGGAGCCCTTGTTTTAGAAATACCCACCATGCAGCTTGCAAGTACTGGGATGTAAGCAATAACAGGGTGCCATAAATTTTTATTGATTGAATTTTTAAATGGATAATTTAAACTCCCTTGGCATGATACAAAAATATCTCTTGAAGAGAGTAGACTGTAAAATTTGTGGGTGTGAGGACCCGGCTTTAATTTTTTCTCTCCTAGTTTGCATGTTTTCCCTCATTAGTCTTTCTAAACTGCTGGCACCAGCAGTAATAAATACTGATAAAAATCAAAATTGATTTTTAGCAGTGGACAGTTTATGCCTAGAGAGATGGCTTATACCTAGCTTATACCTACATAACACAAAAGGGGGAAAATGAAGAACCTCCAGTGATCCGTGTAAACCTAAACGCTTTTAAACAAATTCTAGTAACAGAATTGCTATCAAAAGATACCAGTCCTGGCAGTGGCGAGTCAGACAGAACTGAAGACAGTGATAGCTCAGAGCTAAATATCCTTTCAAATTAATTTGAAAACAAGCTGTGTGTGTGTGTGTGTGTGTGTGTGTGTGTGTGTGTGTGTGTGGCATGTGTGTGACATGTACCATATGTAAGTAGCTTCCCATTTTTCCAGTAGTGCCTATATTGTTTATACACACAAATCTCTATATTTGCAAACTCTGAATCTATGCCAAAATGTAATACCATTTGTCATTTTCTGTTCCTTTTCTAGAGAACTGGCCCATTTACAAAGTTGTTTTGTTTGTTTTTTTCTGTTGTGTGAAATTCTTGGTTTAACAAGAGAAAAGTAAGGAGAAAAATGGGACATGGGCTGCAAAGTCCCCTGAACACTGGAATGATCTTGACCTTGAGACTGAGCTGGCAGTGGCCTTGGATCCCAGAACAGCCTCCCCTCCCCCTTTTCTTTGAGCCCATCTGGCTAGAGGAGGAGCAGTAAAATTATGGAATGAATCAAAAGTTAGGAGTCCTATTTCCAGTAAGCCTGGGCTGAGCTTGTTGTTGCTGAAATGGAGTAGGACTTAATCCTAACTGAAGGGTAATCTGGGAGACTGGTTCATAGTATGCGGATTCGAATAGGCCCATTGGGCTCACATGTAACCTGCTCCCCCCCCCCCCCCCCCCAAGGGCCTGAGTTACTGGGATTTGTCTCAACCTCAGAGTCACACGTGACCTCAGGGAAGGCTGCGGTGAGCTAACTCCCATCTCACACTGATGGTATACTCCTTTATGTAAAGCCACCCTCATATCTTATGTAATTGCTTTATCAGAAAGTGGCTAGAATCAGGACTTCTGATGGTTTTTGGTTTTGGAACTGGACATATGTCAGACAGTGAAGACTGTCTTCTGCCTTGTGCTCCTGGAAGTGAGTCTGGGGCTTCAAGGACGCAAATGAGCAGTCTGACTTGGGAGGGATGAGGAGGATGGTGGCCCAAGGTAACTGGGAGCCAGGACAGCTCATTAGAATGGGCGTCACAGGAGAGGCCTGCCAGGGTTAGGAAACAGCCGGCTGCCCGTCTCAGCTCTCACGAATCGGGTTGCATTTCTCCGGGAAATCGCCAATGGGAGCCAGTAATAGCAGGCCCTAATCTGAGCACTGGCCCAGAGGCAAACTTGGGAGCCTGGGAAAGGAAATCTCAGGCCAGTTCCCAAACCTTACTCTGTATCCGAGACCCAGCGGCTGCAGACTCAGTTTCTGAGAACCTCAGTTGGGGTGCATAAGGCCACCCCCAGCTCATGTCAAAGGACTCAGACCTTCCTTTGAGGGGTTACTTGACACCACTGGCAAATAAGGTTTTAATTTATTTTCATTACAGAGATATTTTGAAAAATTTAGAAGGCGTGTGCTCACACCCACGGCTATGCATCATAGTTAAAAGTGAAACCGTGGAGGTGGATGAGAGGCTGTCCCATTAATGTAATTACTTCGGATTTTTTTCTTAATGGAATTAATTCATTAGAAAATGTTGGCATCCGATCCGTAGGAAAGGAAGATGAAGCTGGCAACAAAAATATAGCTATTATCTCACTTGCCATAAATATTTGCAATTATGATACCTTGGAATGCTGCCACGATATGGATTGCTTTGATTAAAAGATGTCAGTTGAATAAAACAGTACTGGGGGATAATAGTTTTCTGCTACTAGATAAATGCTAATGTTTATTTTTAAACCCGGAAACATTGATCCTGTGACAATGCCCCATTACAATTACTTTATTATTCCAGGGGGTTGATGCATATTTAATCATTTGGCTAATGGATGTGAGTGCTGTCCTGAGGCTGGCTCCCTATCCTGCGCCCCCGCCTGCATTCTGATGAGCGGCGGGACCCCCACCCCACCCCCACCCCCCGGGGTGCTCAGGTGGGGCAGCTGCAGATGGGGCTGCTCAGGTGGGGCTGCACCCCCCAAGCTTCTTTCACTGGTATCCCCAGCCAGGCCTGGCTGATACCATACAGATGAATTACCCTTTATTTTCTGTTTCCCTTCAGTAAACACCAGCCAGGGGAGACAAATCAGCCATCTTAGCACAATTTCATTAAGGCTTCGTGCTAATAAGGACGCTTTGCCTTTCGAGGTTCAAGCCGATGATCAATGAGCTTGCGTGTTGTGCACTTTGATGTGGTGGCTTTCCATGTGACACCCAAAGGGCGGGTTCTTTTTGCCTGCGTTCCCATCTTTCCTTAGGATTTCAGCTTCCACCCTCAGTCCAGCATTCATTTAAATCCCCCCCCCCCCATTGACCCTTTTACTTGGAATCAAAGATCAGAATTGATTGTCTAATTCTGAGACCACATGGACAAAGACTGCTGCTTGCTTTTTCTCATTTACTTACTCATTCGGCAAACATTTATCAGTTCACCTTCTCTGTTAATTACCATGGGAGATGCCAAGAAATTAATCAGTGGGAGTGATTGGTTTGTGGTTTTCATTTGTAAGCAATAAAGTGATCCAGGCTTATCCATAGACTAGAAAAATGCATTTTGCTCTCATTTCTGTTGGTAGTGCTTCCTCTTTAAAGACCGTTTATAAACTGCTGCCATTTGGAATTTCCTATTAAGAAACTCAGAATGATCTATCTAAATGTTCCCTTCACCTCCCCTCTCCTCTTTGAGTTGAGAAGTATTTTAGTACGTCCTGCTGTCTTCCCTTCTTTACATCCTTCTGTCTGTCTGAAGAGATCTCCACAGTGTGTTTTCATTGTGACTTCAACATACATTAACATTTGGGGAATTTAGCTGGAACCTGTTTGGCTCAGTGAATAGAGCATCGGCCTGCAGACTGGAAGGTCCCGGGTTC